GTGATAAAGGACGTTCCCATCTCCCATGCCTTCTTGTATCTTCATCAGCTGCAGGCTCATGCGAGGCCCAATCTGAGGAGAACACAGTGCAACAATTCAGGTTCCAATCAGGCACCAAGATTGTTTTTGTTTGTGCTTTACTTCCTCAGGATACTCACCTCGGTCAGACGGACTGCGCTCTGCTGGGAGGCCATGTTGCCTCGGCCAGAGTAGACCTGTGGTAGTTCAGTTATGTTGTGCTCCCCGTCTTGCTCTGCCTCACTTTCTGAAAGGTTTGCCCCCCTGAGAGTTGTAGACAACACAATAGTTGATCAGATTTAAATCATCAATTCTGCAGAAGGAAACAAACAACTTGAATCCCTGTGTTAGAACAGCTACATCTCACTAAGCATTTTGAAAAGGACCTTACTTCATCATCAGCTCACTGATATCCTCAAACTTGGCCATGTTGGGGAACCTCTCCTGCATCAGCTTTTTGACTCCACGGCTCATTCCCACAGGGACAACCTTCAGGCTGCTGCAGGTTGGAAACGTGATCACGTGGGTCAGTCTAACAATTACTTAAATAAAAATAAATATGGTCATTGTGTTGAGGCCCGTCAGTGCGTTTACTTTGAACATACATCACTGAACAGTCATGTCGAAATCTGTCATCATGTGAGCCCAACATCTCTGCTGTTAAGCCCTTTGCTAGAGCAAACAGGGCAAAAACTAAAAGTACTTACTAGTGACGGAATTCTATTTCCTGGGTCTCTGGGTTGTAATTCAGCAGCACACACCTCTTGATATTGTTGAGGCTTACCTGGAAAACAACAATATCTTTGTTTTTGGTTGCAAGAAGTATACATTTTTACAGTGTTGAATGCTCATAGATTTAGTAATCAGATAGCGTTTACTTTTGATTCATCTTCAAAGGAAATCTCAGAAGACTATACGATCATCATGATGCCAACAGGGCTTTAAATCTTGAGTCAACCACAAAAAGGCAGTATTATTGTTAAAAAGAAACATACCTTGTGCACATTAATGGAAGGAAACATGTTCTGGAACATGGTGGCCATGAGTTTAACGTGCATGCCATCAGATCCAAAGTTGTTGAGGATTAGTAGAGGATGATGTGTGAACTGCTGATCGTGCATCCTGTGCTTCTTCAGAGATGAAACCACATCTTTGACAAGGGAGTACTGAAAAGTTTTATAAAAAAAAAAAAAGAGTCCTCAAAAATGTAGGGAAACATTTAAGTGTTAAACTTTACATTGCCAGTTTGGGCGCATCAGTGCGTTTACTTTGAAAACATCACTTACAGTCACATACTAAATTGTCATCATTTGAGCCCATTTTCCTTTTGTACTTCTATTTCAAGGATGAGTTCATACAATTACCTTCACTACTTTGAAATTAAGCATTGGACCTTTCGGAAGTCGAGCCAGTCTCTGAAAGCACAAAAAAAAAAATTGGTTGGATGGGGATCAGGCTAATCATGACAAAACTGAAAAAGTTCCTCAGCACCCGAGAGCTGTTTTTAAAAAATAGGTTATTTAATCTTACCAGGTTTACACAGGTGGGAGTTTTGCTGAATATCATGAAGTGTGTTACTCCCAGAGGTCCTGCAATAGCCACAAAGTCTTTCAGCACATTCTTTTTCCTAACCTGGTAAAAGGAAAAAACAACATTAGATATAGTTGAAGTGAAAGAGCAGAGGAAATGACAAAAATACTTGCAGATTAAAAATATCAGAAAAAGCTCATATATATACACATTTAATTAAAAATGCTCAAATAAACCCCACCGACCTTCAGTGACTCCGCAGTGTAGGGCTCCATGACTCTCCGCATATCCTCGATGAGCTGACCCACGTTTTTCCCGATCTGTCCCCGGTTAAACACGAAGGAGTGGGGGATAGCTCCGTAAATCTCCTCGGCCACATGGTTAGCTGTGGCTCTGGACTTCTTTTGGTTCTTGGTCTGAAAAAACACAACAGCAATATATTAATTATAATGAATACATTTAGTTACATGACACTTGACAGATTATTGTTTGATTTTGCTTTGAATTACGATTAGAGTTTAGAGTTTAATTAGATTTTCTTTTTAAAAGTAAGCTGACGTACACGATTAACTAGCTCTACTAACAGTTATAGTTATACAAATCCACCACAAACTGAGGTTTATCCTTGTCGTATAACATATATCACATGTTTATTCATTAAATAGACTCAAATATAAATACAAGTTTAGCTATCTTTCCTTAAGGCTAACCCATGCGCACAGGCCGTCACTTACCTTTGATTTCCCCATTTTTCAACGAGATGTAGAGCAGTTATATTGAGTTAACAATAATAACATAGATAGTTGCAACACTATATTAATTATATCGAAACAAGTACGTTCATTACGACCGTAAAATGCAATCAACAACAATTTAAACCATCGAGGCTTCAACTGCGAAGACAGCGCGACGTCTTCCACATGGTGGTTCTGCTGGTGTGTGTCACGCACTAATGTGTCCGGGGTGGTTGCTCACGTGTTTTGAAATAGTTCCTAGAGAAAAAGGGTCCGCGTCCCTCAACATGATCAGAGAGGTAGATGATAGTAACCTAGGCAATTTACACGTTTTAAAATAAAAGTACAATGAAAACAAAAAGACCGCTTATAGTTACAATTGTGCCTTTGTCATTCATTGCACTATCCCAAGTAAGCCACTTGTTTTGCCATTTGCAATTTTCAATAAACATTTGGAGTTTTAGATTTGAAGCAACAGCAAACAATTAATATTTCTTAATGAATAACAATTTTGTTCAGTTGTGATTGCCTGCTGCATTGTTTAAATTAATATTTAAGCAAGTGTTTTAATCATGCAGTTCCACATTATGATAACTAGAGGGACACCTTCATGCTTCATCTCGACCAGCGATGAGGAGGTCACTAATGCTTCAGGTTTATGTTTTTCCATTTATTTAGTATTCTTTTTTTGTGTCTTAATAAGCCATTAAGAATTGTATGAACACATTCCAGGTATTAAGAGGAAAGGAGAGTTGTCTGTAGAAGCTTTATTTAAAAGTGGCAACAGAGAACAGGGAGGTAAAAATTAAACAAAGTCAAACAAAAGCTATGTTTTATTTTAGACTGTTAAGTACAGGAGGTATTGAAATCACAAGTTGTAATTATCTCCTTAAAATGGCAGCAAGGTTACATTGTCAGCTGCTGTGTTACCACAAACAAGAATTTAATTTTAGGTTTCACACTTCCACCCCATCATTGAGGGATCTTTGACATGTCTGTAGTTCTGTTAGTAACAGCTATTACAGCTTACAAGACTGCTGAAATATCAAAGATAGCATTTCAAGTGTTTACCGACAACAATGCTGGCCAAAGAACATGGTGCAACACCAGCTTCACATGCAAACACCTAACAGTTGTCCTAGCAATTTAAAAGTCAAAAGTATCTGCTGCTTTTTTTGTGTTTTTTTGTTATCTCACTCACACCATGTCCGCACCCAAAACTGGATGTGCCTTCATATGACATATTGGGTGTGACCAGTGCAATAAAGTTGAATCTCCCCGATAACATTTATTGCATGAAATGGATTTCCCTTTTGCTGTTGTATACTCTAGGTCAGTGGTTTTCAAACTTTTTTTGGCCAAGTCACACCTAAGACCAAGCCAAGATCTCAAGGTACACCTATAATCATATCCGGTCAAAATACCCTCTATAACACATAGTATCACTGTTATCACTCTGTGAACACGTTTTTTAATTTATTAATGCAAAACAAAATATTGACAGACAATTATATTATTTAAATAATCATTTATTAACAAAATAATTTAAGAATCCATTTAATGAATTATTGTAAAATTGGGCCACGTTAAAGTAGCAACACACCCAACAGTACATTTATATTGACATACAACAGCAATGAGTTGAAAATAAAACGTTTTCTACTAAAGTTGTAAAGAAAAAAGATGCATTGAGAATGAAAATGAACTGGAATGCACAAACTGAATACAGACAAATCATCAACGCAGTTTAGAAAATGTTTAGTTGTGAATTGAAAGCTACATTTAGATCAACCATCAACGCAGTTAGCAATAGATGACTGTGAATTGTTGTAAATTGAAATATTAGACCTAACTTACATTTCAATAAGCATTCAAATAATTGCTATTGTAAATATATTCTGCCTACTTAAAGGCTAGTGAGACACATATGCCTGGCGGTGTGCGCAGATTTTTGTAATCCTTGGTGGTACTGAGGAGAGGGCCACTCGCAAATCCTGTTCAACAGAGAAGCGCGACCTCCTGTTGCTTTTCATGTAAACCAGAGAAGAGAATGCCAACTCACACAGGTAGGTAGTGGGGGAAAAAGTAGGTCAATTGCTTGGCGTGAGATTGTAGGCCAGGTCCATGTTTTTAAGTATTTACAGTTCTGGATTTCTTTGTTCAACAAATGAAAGCTGAAACAGAAATTGCTAATTTTTGCAGACTTGAAAGTACAATTCCGAGGTACATTTACTTGAGTATTTACATTTTATTATACTTTGTACTAATACTTCACTATATTTAGGAGGCAATTGTTGGACTAATTAAATACATTTTTCTTACAGCAACAGTTACTTTAAAGGCTACGATTTTACATATAAAATACATGATCACTTTATTAAATAAGATGCATTATCATGGATTAAAGTGCTAAAAGCTACTAGTAGAGAAAATAGTGGAAACAAGCGCCACCCAACCAAACGTGACATTAAAGGATGCATAGATATACATTTATCATTGAGAATATCATGGGATATTTTCTAATACAAAATGTGACAAAGTTAATTAATACTTTAAGTACTTTTTGCTGCATTTGTCGTTACTTTCTGACATTTTATAGACACAATTAACAAACCATTTATAGAGACTCATAACTTGCATCCCTACTTCAAACAAGTGTATTTGAGTACCTCACTAGTTCAACTCCTAAAGGATAGTCTGTGGCAGCAGAGCAGGTTGATGGTAGAGGGAGGAGACATCCAGCTAAACAGCAGGTACTGGGAGGCGTCATTTGGATAGTTTGTAATTAGATGTCTCTTCTTCAGAGATCCTGAGACAGATCCTTGAGAGAGAAGGGGCAGTCTAGTTGCTGCAAAACTTGAGTGCAATTCTTGTTATTTTCTTCAGATACATTTGTGAGCCTAATTTTCTCTGCTCACATCTTCACTTCACACAGGACCGCAGACAACTGTTCATTTGGAAGGGGCTGCTTGTTGATATGCCTCTTGGTTACCCCTTTAACATGTGATTTAAAAAAAAGTGTTAGCCTCTTTTTTTTACATATGTGCGTCCTTGGAGCTGCAGCTACACACTGGAGCAGAACAAAGACGTCCTAAAGCCTTTTTCTTCTGTTACGGTAAGTCAATGTAATACATTTGAATGTAGACTGAATTGTACTGCGTTGGCATACAAAGTCTCACTCGGCGAAATAACTTATTGATTTGATAAATCCTACCAGAGAGTTGATTCTGAACAAAAGTATTTTGAAGTGTAGATACTTCTATATCTGTGAGAAAGGTATACTCGAGATTCTTGTGTGTGATGTCCTTGTTGACCTAATTGGGTTCATGTGTTTATGGTGTTGACCGTGGTTGTTGTGGTTGGATGTGGTTGGATGTGGGGCTAACTCTTCTGTTGACCATGTGATGGAGGTGTGTTGACTCTGGCTGGTTGATGTTGACTATTGTCCTTTCACTGTTGACCTGCTATTAAATTCCAGCCAGGGGGAAATGTGCTACTTTCCAAGGAAACATCTGGTGTCAATACCCACAGCACTATGAAGACATAGTTTAAGTAACTGAATCATGTGTTGTTACTGCAGTGGAAATTCTAATCATGTCCTCTCCTACACTTCCAGGGTGTCCACAGAATCCATCACCTTCATGGAGAAGACATGGACAATAGGTTTGACTCTTTTTTTAACACTCTGTCTGGACATACCAGGGGTCGGAGGACGTAAGGAGGGGACTCATGGCGAGAACGCTCAGAAACGTTCCTCGCGATCTTCCGAAACAAAAGGAGGCCGTTGCTCCTACACTTTCATTGTGCCACAGCAAAAACTGACAGGTGCTCTGTGTTTGAACACACAGTCGTCCTATACCAACCAGTCGGAGGTGGCAGCGCTGCGGGCTGAGCTCAAGCAGCAGCAGGAGCAGATGGAGAAGCTCCAGGGCAAACTGGAGCAGGAGGGGTCTCTTGCCATGGATGTAAGAGCCCTGCAAAAAGAAAGTAGCAGCATGAATTCACGCATTGCCCAGCTCTACGCCCAGCTGCTTCATGAAGTCATACACAAGAAAGACCACGTTTTGGAGCAGCAAAGGGTGGAGACCCTCCTGCTAAATGCTACAACACAGGTAAGCAGATAACCTCACTCCTTGTCACAGCAAAGCAACATCCTAATTGTAATCAAACTTATCCTTACAACATGTCAGGCACTGCAGGTGTCCAGTAACTACAGGGAACTGGAGAAGAAATATGGAGTCCTCACCTCCATGATGAGCTCCCAGAACCAAATCATTGCTCGCCTGGAGAAGCAGTGCCAGAGCAGGGACACCACACAGGCTCCTCTGGTAGGGAACAAAATGTCGTCTGCTTTTTGCACATTTATACTCGATTTCTCCACTGGAACTGACGATGGTATTTTGCTTTTGTGTTGGTCATGACAGGTGACAAGTAAACCACCAAAAAGCCAGCCTAATCTGGATCGTAATTACAGCTCTGAAGCCAAAGAAATTACCAATGATGTTCAAAGGGACCAAAGTGCTCTTCTACCACAGCAGGAAAAAACAGTTTTATCCCTCAACACCACTACAGCCAACACTCCTACAGACCCTTCCTTCATTAGTTTTCCTGTCACAAAGACACCAGGTATGTAAAGCACGACTCACAGCTGAAGTACTCGATCAGACTTCAAACTCTAAGCGTATCAATCTTCTGCTGGAGTTATTTAGCAGCTTAGATAAGCAGACGCTGAAAGAGTCAGTGACCCGACGGTAGGAGGCCTATCTCGCTGGGAATGCCTAAACAATGTCAAAAACAGCTAGAAGCTCTTATCAGAAGGACTTTTATAATGAAGACACCCTTGTGAACCAGAGCATTTGTTGGAGCTTCAAATGACACGACTAATGTATAGTTGGACTGGAATACTTGTAATAAAAAAGTAGAGGACGTCTAATAAGTCAAGAACAAAGGGACTCCACTTTGTGAGTGCCTCAGTTCTTGCTCAAAGTACAGACCAAAGACGTACATTGTCAAATCTTATGTAAACGAGACTAGGTATGGACTACTAATGCTTGTTGGGAATTAGGCATTTGCGTGGGAGATTTTTCTCAATGTATACATTTTCTCCAGGCAGATTATCTTATCTCTGTCACACTACTAGACACTAAGCATGTGTTGGGAGAAAAATGGTTTAGCTGTCAAAAGATAAGCTGGAGTTGTCGTGTATTTTGTGATCTTCCTGATGCTAAAATAAACACAATTCCATAAACTATCTATAACCGGCACCCTTGTGTTTTACAAAATTGTCGCTACTGAGTTTAACTCTGTCTTAAAGCAACAACGTTGACGAAGGACAAATCCTCAGTTACTTATTTTAAAGGTTTACTGTTAAAAAAAGAAAGGAAAAATTACAGATTGAGATCCGTTATGTCTGGATTTTACTTCTTTCTCCCCAAACACTCCAACTGAGCGCTTGGCTATATTAATACCTTATTTAAAGTATTTCAAAATAAAATATTATATGACAACATATATCTGAATATTGCATTTCCTTCTCGACCCATACATGCTTATATCCTTTTCTCATAAATCAGGGCCGTGGCGGGACTGCCAGCATGTCCTGGAATCAGGGGAGACCACCAGCGGGATCTACCTGCTCCGACCACAGAGTGCCAACCGCCTGCTGCAGGCCTGGTGTGAGCAGAGTCGAGATGAGGGAGGGTGGACGGTCATCCAGAGGAGACAGGATGGCTCTGTAAACTTCTTCAGGACTTGGGAACAGTATAAGGTGATTCTTAGTTTATTTTATTAGAATATTTGATAGTTAGCAACAAACACAAAGTAGCAGGCTCATGGGAATGTCATTGCTTTTGCAAATTAGTCATTAGACAATGTATTAAAGATCCCCCATGTTGTGGATCCCTATTCTATTCCTATTCCTTCTGGAGGGGGGCATAATTGTGTATAGTAAACGGCTTAGCAATCCATCCAATAGTTGTTGAGATGCATGTACCAATTTTTGTTTAAATTAATACGGTATAAATGAAAATGTGACCTGCTGCGCTAGAGCTACGGAAAAAAGACCTACACATGATGAATACTTTCCGTCAGAAATAACCCATACAATGTTTACCGGAAGTTGACATAGTAACCATGATTTCAACATTGTTGATTTGACAACATGACAACGTTGTCCTCGAAATTAGTTTGAGGACTATGGTTTTGAAACCTCAAGTTTGTCATTTCTTTTGTTAGAGGCATGTGGTTTTTCTAAGAACCAGAAATGACGCAATTGGGGGAACTGAGTATTCTGAACAAAACATTAGGCAACTAACCAGGTGCAATACAGTTTTTTAAACTGAAATCAAACTGTAAAATGGTAAATCTTCTAAGACAAAAACATTGAGAATGCTCTAACCTGGACAACCATGTTAATGAATCACAAGACAGCTGCTTTTTAAACTTCAAATGGACTTTTAAAAACTTTTAAGAAAATTAAATTCATGCTCTGCTAAAAGAGACACAAAACTAGAATTTTACATCATGAGCTTGAAAATGTCTTATGAGGTAATACATCCATAACATAATAGAATAATTGTATTCATAGACTTCTATTCAACAGGGTTATTTTTTACATCCAGTGGGATGCCCCCTAATGGAAGTCAAATCACTTTCACAGTGGCTTCACTTTTCAGACTCTGAGGTTTCCTCCTCATTAAATTGTTGTGTGGGTGTGTTACAGCAAGGCTTTGGGAATCTAGACGGAGAGTACTGGCTCGGCCTTGAACACCTCTACTGGCTGACTAAACAGGCTAAGTATAAGCTTCGTGTGGCTATGGAGGACTGGCAGGGCCGGCAGGTTTATGCTGAGTATGACAGCTTCCACCTGGAACCGGAGAGCGATTGGTATCGACTGCGGTTAGGACAATACCAAGGCAACGCAGGGGACTCCCTCTCATGGCACAACAACAAGGCTTTTACCACTCTGGATCGAGACAAGGACAGCTATACAGGTCTGTATAGCTCATTCTGCTCCTGTTTCTTAGCTCGCTGTTAGTGTTTTGACTTGAACTGTTTATAAGCCTGTTCCTCCGTTGTGCCCCCAGGTAACTGTGCTCATTACCAAAAAGGAGGCTGGTGGTACCACATGTGTGCCCACTCCAATCTGAATGGTGTGTGGTATCGGGGCGGACACTACCGCAGCCGCTACCAGGATGGGGTCTACTGGGCCGAGTTCCATGGAGGGTCCTACTCCCTCAAACGAGTTTCCATGATGATCAAACCCAAATAACATAGTTGCATTATAAATAAGTAAGAAGGACATAATGATGAACTGATGCAGATAAATGTAGAGGGCCTAGAGAATATATTTCAGTGTTATCCCTGTACAGTGTTGAGCCAGTGTGTTTGATAAAAAATGTCTTTATTTGTTGAAGAGGCCACTGAGTAACGTGTGTGAATCATGTTCTGTGTTGACACATCTTTCCGTTATTGCAATTTCCTGACAACTTGAATCTTTCAATTCAATTTGCTCTGTGCTTTTTAATAAAAAAATAAGCCTAATTAATTCCGTTGCAATTTTTTTATGAATGAATAGATAATATACTGTGAATGTGACGAAAAATATTGAGGAAGAATAATATGTTATATAGGGTTTTTCAAAGCTCTCCACTAAGAGGAGTTTGTGGTTATGGTGACATATTTCCGTCTTTTCTGGCAGTTTCCTGTACACTGGGGCGTTACATTCTGCCCTGGTATACTTTCTTTTCATCCCCCAGAGCACGTGTAACCGTCAGCAGCAAGTAGTCACCATACAGGCCAGCTCCGAGACAGCATTCATCTTATCCAGATACTGAAGCTGGACATCTTCTGGACCATCCTGAAACACACTTTACTTCTTCCTTCCACCTGGTGCATGCTCACAGCCTGCATGCTGCCTCTCAGGATGTTGAGCCTCCTCATGCTCATGCTTTCACTGTGTGGTGAGTGATAATGATGCTCTACAGGAGCTCTGTGTGGGTCCTAAATGTTACACCTCATTTTCTGCTTGAGCTATAGATAATACTTACTACACTACTGGGGTAGTTTGAAAGGCTGCAGTTGTTACCAGTGATGATAAGTAGACAAATAAACGGATTGATTTCCTTTTGTTTGGTTGCTTCAAAAGATCATCTAAAGAGAATCTTGAAAAGTGGAAGTTGTCGCCTTTGACTTTTCAAATATAATAAAGTTGGAAAATGTAATTGAATTTAAAAAGATAAGATTTTAAGTAGCATAGCAAGCTGAAATGATTGTGGCACAAGCTTCCGCTATATCGTTGACTTCTGTTAACCACATTAACGGCAATGGGTGTGGTGGATAAAGAATCCCTTTTGAAATAAAAACGATTAATAACATTTTGGCAGATTAACTTGAGTTTTAGCATAGCACAGGTGTTTTTTTTCAAGACAGTACATAACTATCTATTTCTAAAAAAGGAAGGATCCGGTAGTTTTTAAATCCTAAAACATCACATTACCTCAAATAAATAAACGTTATCATACATTTTTAGGATAATCTATTTGTATTGTTGCCTTTTATCTCTTAGTTATAAAAACCTACCTATTTTAGTGCTGACCTTACATTTCTGTATGACTATATCTGTGATTCAGCACTTTTGTAAATGATACCATTACAGACTCCTGTGAGCTAGAATTCAGCCCTACCCAATTCAAAGTATAATTGGACCACCAGAGAGCAGCACAGTCCTCTTTTAAATTCCATTAAAAGCATTACCAATTGTCCATCAACAGATTCAGACAGCATATGCCCCACTGAGCTCAACCCTCTCACTCTGGGTGTGCCCAGGGTCATAGAAAACTATGGAGCGTCAGTGGAGGTGAACTGCACCAGCACAGAGGCGGATCATATGGGGATGTACTGGAGAATTGGAAACAATGACTATGGAGTTATCCATGGGGGAAGTTTTATCTCCCACTCAGTGTCACTGTCTGAATGGAATGTGACAGCAGAGTGCAGAATAAAGCTGAATGACACTCATGAATGCAGCAAAGAACTTGAAATCACCATATACCGTAAGTACATTTCAAATGAATACTACAACATTGAAAAATACGAAAACATAATGAAGTAACTCCAGTATCTACTTTCTCTTTGATAGAGAATCCAAGGGTCTATGTGTTTCCAGTGAATCATGAGGTGGAAGGGACCCTGTTCGAGCTGCAGTGTGATATAGATGTTGCACCAGTTCAAAACCTCGTTGTGAGATGGTTGAAAGATAATCAAACAGTCCAGACAGAGAATTTCGCCAACACAACCACAACACCTGTAATTGAGTCCTCTACTTTGGCATTCAACATCAGCAGGGCAGAACATGGAGCTGAGCTCAGGTGTGAGGCTCAGCTCGACTTTGGGTCACACGGACCACAACTTCCTGTTCATTCTGGCAAATACATCGTTTCTGTGAACTGTGAGTAAACACTCTGTTGTTTCCGGATAAACAGAATAATAAATTGTTCCATATCATAAAGTAAATATTTGAATCAATCAATGTGTTTTAAAAAAAAAAAAAATACAAAGCCTTGATTTGCCTCTGCAGATGCTCCTGAATTCAAGAACACATCAGAGGATTTCTTTGTGCATGAGGGTGATGATGTGACCCTGAACTGTGAGGCTGAGGGGCGACCCCAGCCCACCTTTCATTGGAAACATGATGGGAAGAAATTATCTGATACTAATAATCTCAACATCACTAGAGTAAACACCAGTGGGACGTACATCTGCTCAGCAATCAATTATCTTGGAAACATAACCAAGGAAATCCATGTTCGTGTAACAATGAACATCCCAGCAGCCCCTGCAGTCATAACAACCCCTGCAGTCATAACAACCCCTGAGACATACAAAACTAGAGGTAGGATACATTCCTGTGTCCTTTTCATGAGCTTACATGATTCAAATGTATCACTAATTATATGTGACGATCACCCTGTTGCTAACTTTAATTATGTTTTTTTAATTATCGTGTACTAAACTTAAGCGCTCATTAAACATGTTTTTTTTTTAACGGCAGGATGCCCACTAGTGTTGACACCTGCGAAAATAGTTGTGAGATTTGGAGATCCAGTTTCCATTAACTGCAGTACATCAGCTGCAGGTTATATAAAAATGGGCTGGGAGGTTACAAGTGGAGACACAAGACATGACAGTACTTCTGTCACCTGGAGTCTTGAGAAAGTGGAAGACTGGAGCATAAAGCCTGTTTGCTTCGTTACTTATGAAGAGAATGGCAAGGAACTACAGTGTTATGTGGACCTGAACATCACTCTTTATAGTGAGTACAAGTCTATAGATACACCCTATCTTCTGTCTTTATCCTGAGGGGAAGTAATGATGTCCATTGCTTATAGATATTCTTAATTGTATACATTTTGTGACAAGTGACACTTAAAAAGCAAGTAAATATGGAATATATCATGGCATTTGTGTGTGCATATTTGGTGTATATATTTGATTCATCCATTCATTCATTACATTTGTATTTCTGTGTCATACTAAACATTTAGCTAATCTCACATGAGTTAACAAGACACCACTATTTTACATACTGTACATCTCGTCTTGCATATACAAAACACGAGGAAAAGGAAAGAAGCCCAAATAAACAACATTGGTATCCTAAATTAGCTGTTCCTATTATTTGTTTTAACTATTAAATATCTCCATATGTTTCAAATCAGTCTTTGTGCATCATCCTAACATCTATATCTACATATATGAACACCTGGGATTGTAATTTTAGGGATATCATTTTGTTTTGTTTTCAACTAAGTATTGTCCCTTGCTTTATTTTCAGAGACTCCAGACATTGTGTCAGTCTCTGCGTCGGATCCTGGGCCAGTGATGGAGGGCACAGAGATCCAACTGAAATGCGACATCATTAATGTGACTCCTGTGCAAAACCTCACTGTGAGGTGGTACCGTGGAACGGACATTTTGCAGACAGATGTATTGGATGAAAACAGGAAGATCCCAGTAAACATGTCATCTATTTTCTATTTCACTGCTGAGAGAGATTACAACGGAGCAGAATTCAAATGCGAGGCTGAGCTGCAACTAGAAACAAATAGACCTGACCTTGGTCATAATTTAACCTCATCACCTTACACGGCTGTGGTGTACTGTGAGTTGTCCTCTTATATATCTATTTTTGTATTTTTCTTTACTTGCTAAACACACCCTAACAATCAGTTTTGCTTAATGTATGCTGTGTTTCTTTTGTAGATAAACCACTAATCAAAGCCTGTCAGGGTCATATCGCTCGTGTTGAGCATGAATTCAGTTTGGACAAGTTTCCCTGTCAAGCTGATGGGAACCCTCCACCAATCTTTCTGTGGTACTATGATGGGAACATTATCAATGCATCTGAACCCCTCACCAGGACTCAATCAGGAAAATACACAGCAGAAGTTTCAAACCGTATTGGCAGTAGCAACACCTCCGTCGATATCATAATCGAATGTGAGTGAATGAGACCTGCCTGATTGTATACATGTTTATGTTTAATTTTCCATCATTTATTTTAAAGAATATTTGATTAAATGTTTTACAGATGGCCCCACATTTACTTGTGATGATTACTATGAGGTTGAGGTGAATAGCAAGCTGTGTGAACCAGAGGGGAATCCTAAGCCGGACATCAAATGGTTCAAGAATGGAACAATTGTGGATTCCCCCTGGCAAAGCATGACAAAGAACGATAGTGGATCTTACATGATGAACGCAACCAACAGCCATGGAACAGCCACTCATAAGCTACAACTTGATGTTCTGTGTAAGTGTTATAGTTTGTAATGCACAAAATAAGCCTTAGTATATTGTTTTGTTGACAGTGATTTGGGATTATCAATCATATTACTTCTTCTACTCAACACTTACCATTCTCTCTGCAGTTGCCCCTGAGATCAAGGAGGGAACTTACAGTAAGGAGGTGAACTTGGATGGAAATGTGACTCTTGACTGCAGTGCTGAGGGCAACCCTCTTCCTGACCTTCATTGGAACTACACCACTGCAGAGAATGTGAGGGAGACCACCAGAGGGCACCAGAAGAGCCTCACCATCACAGGAGCCACGTCTACCAATGCTGGATTTTACATCTGTGTTGCCACGAATAATGTTGGGGAAGTGACAAGTACTGTCACACTGATGATGAAAGGTATCAGTATTGACTATGTACAGTGAAGTGGTTTCTGATGTTAATGCTATACATAGGTTGTGGTGGGGGTGGGGGGGGATTATTTATTGAATCAAGAAGTAAAAACATAGTTCAATGAATTTGGTTTTATCTTGTTTGTCTTACAGGTAAAATCAGTGTATTTTCTTGGAGATTCCTTTGGTGGTTGCTGATTGGATTGATCGTCGTCTTCATCGTCATCGTCATTGTCATTGTCCACAAACGCTATAAAAAACATGGGCGATATAGTTTTGTCCTTGACAGAGCCAATGATGGTTCAGATATCCCAATGGCTCCTCAGTCTAACGGGACTACAGATAAAGTGTAACATACTTCTCAATGGGTAAGATGAAACCAGCCAATGAACTCATTTAATTAAAACGTAACCAGAAAAGTCATTCTTGCCATCTATATAATATGTTTGTAAATATTGTGTTTAAATGTAAACGTTGGTGTGGTAGGACGAGTATAGGTTTTCAGCAGCAACAAATATGTACAAATTCTTAATCAGGAGCATTTGTTCGTCAAGAAGTGCTAATAACAAAGCCGGTGTATTATAACATTGATTATTTTTTTCAAATGTGTGAATTTAATCTTAGTATAACCAATTTTTATATCTCTGTTTCTATTCTTAATAAAGTTACACAAAAGCCTTTGATGATGTGTTGTGTGTCTATTTGGCAACTTCATTGCTTATTGTGTATGCTAATGTTGGTTACATCAAAGAGTAATGTTCTTTTAAAAACATTGTTGTACAGCTACATAAAAAACATTGGAAAATAACAGGGTATGGTTGACTGCCAGGACTGATTTTGATTATGAAACATTACAATATTCTACAAGAGCTAAAAATCTGAGCATTACTTTAGAATTTAAGTTATGATGTATTATCAGCACAGAAACCTGTCTGTAGCACTTAATAGAGTCATTCATTATTTGAAGAAATGTGAATCTTTCAGGGTGTTAAAAAGGATGTAATGTGTGATGATGAATGTGGACCATGCTCTGTGAGGGCAGCACAAAGCCCCAAAAGCTCCTTGCCTTGCTCAGGGACACTATTAAACCAGGTTAACTAAAATTATTAAACCAGGTTAACTACAATTATTAAACCAGGTTAACTAAAATTATTAAACTAGGTTAACTAAAATTATTAAATCAGGTTAACTAAAACTATTGAACCAGGTTAACTAACACTATCCTAAAAAGTGGCAGGATGCGCCTGTGGATCCGAAGCTACACTGCCCCTTTAAGATTTAGGATTTGGGAGTGACGCGGATATGAAAGCTAGTTTATCCCTCTTTCCTTCGCTATGAAAAATATTTGGGCATACTGGACTAACGATTGCCAGCCCGTGTTAATTAGCTCATTATGATGCTGATTTACATTATTTGTTGACAGAATCAGAACCGTAGTGCATAGTGGTCAGGGCCGCTAGGGATTATACTTGCCAGGGCCGTCCTCCGAGCCGCTGGGATAACTTTGGAGAAGTTCTTTGTATTCGGGATAGTCACACAGCTTGGCCAACAAGCTGAACATGGACTGGGGCACAGAGCTTTGGGTGAGTCCATCATCTGGCTTTCTTTGCTAGTAATACTTGTTAAGATGGAGATAAAGCGATTTCTTAGATGGAGTTCGTCGAGAAAGTCTGGTAACGCCAAACGTTTTGTTGTTGAGGGATACATGACTGAAGGAGGACGAGGTGCTGCAAAACGGTGCATTCATGAACACAGTTCCTCTCAGAATCTTCTTTAGTTTTCAGAAGTTTTTCAAAAAATGACCTGCTACCAACATGTTGCTCTTGTGGAAAGGGAATCATCTTTGATCCACGTTTGCACATCGGTTGGATGTGCTGCAGGATTGTTTCCCTCAAGTATTTTTATAGTGATATCTGCAGTGCACTAAAATGCACTTACATTCTAAACGTATTATTCCCTTTTCAGTTCCTGCCATACTTCACATATGAATCAAGGCAACTTGAACAACAATCTAATTTGTAGATATCATGTGTCCTGCACGTATTCAAAACATGCATACATTGCTAAATGTGTATTGTAATGCCAGGTGGAAAATTGTGTCAGAATACTATTTATTATGCACATATAAAGACTTTTAAATTGCGGGTTGCTATGATGTCTCAGTGTTTACAGTTTGGCACTCCTTGCCTCCATGGAGATTAAATCAGTTGCTGTCATTTGCCTTGACAACAAGCTGATGAAGTGTCCACCTGAGTTTCATGATTATTTATTCAAGAAACCAAAAAGTGAGCTGGTTTCAAGAAGTCTTGATTTTCAATTAAAGTGACTTGGTGAATTTAGTTCTTATATAAACACATTCCTTAGGGTATGTTTTTGTTATTGCACTGACCAATGTAGCAATTAAAATTACCTGCTTCAGCTGGTAATTTTAAAAGATGAGGGCTGTTTTCTAGGTCATAACAAACCAGGCTACAGATGGCTCCAGTCTAAAACATTGTAACTTGTTCTGGTAGTGACACTATCCTGAATCTAAACAAACCCTGTTGAAACATCCCACCTTAGAACACATTACTTTGATGACTGCCACCATGTACTGCTACACATTTGCAACAGTCACACATGCTCAGGGAACCTGAATATGTAAATTGGAGCATTGCAAAGATGAAGAGGTTGTGACCTCATTACTGAGTATCCCCCTAGGCCTCTTCCTCTGTCCCTTTTCCATCCTACATGCTGGTGCAAAAGACTAATTAGTTTTGCCCTACTTTGATTGAGTGAGAGAAATATCCGTACCCCAGAACTAATCAGAGGCTCTATCTGGGTGTAGGAGGCTTTCCTGTTCATCACATGAAGTGGTTTTACAGAAAACTCTCCACACAAACTCATGTATTCTCTCGTCAGTACTTTTTTTATATATATTATTTTTACTCTAAATTTACTTTGCTATTTTCTCACCTGTCTGTTTAGTAAAAGCCCTTAAGGTATAATTCTGTTAATGTTTTGTTTTGGTTCAGCTAGGCACAGTCAGCTCGATGGCATCTGTCCCCTGATTGTTGTTAATCCATTGTCTATTTTAAGGTACAAGCTAGCAGAGTGCAAGATAAGTGTCTTAGCATTAGCTGTGATAGTGAGTGCTACCAGACCAAGAGAACTACAGGTCTGATCAAGCCTTACTTTTCTAGACGACAGGGTGACTCAGGGCTGAAACTTCCACCCAAGCCTTGTAGGTTGGTGACTTTCAGGGTGACTCCTTTTAAAGTTATGTGGCTTTCACTTGACGCCAGTTTCCGGGATGTATTGGAAAATGTAGTGGACATGTTTTGTGCATGCTAGGTTTAGATAAACACTTGAAGTCCTCAATTTTTAAGTATAATGTAGCAGTATTTGTTCACCCCCTAGCCTTAATCTGTGCCACAGAAATAGGTTGTGGTGCAGAAGAAGTTCTATAATTACCAGGGTGCTACTGGATGTTCCTAAGGAATGCTTTACAATATGTAAAAGCTACTCAAAATGTCTAATTTATGAGTACAGGCCAGGACAAAGGACATAAGTAGTAATGAAATAGCCAGGACACATAGCATAGTTTAACCGGAAACAGGACATTTGCTGTTAATTAAACCTCATGACCATTTAAAGTTATTAGGATCAGTTTCATACACACACTATTGTGATTTATGGAAATTAGTTCTGTACAAACCCAGTCTATTGGGACCTATAAAGATAATTCTGACTGTGGCTGCAATGGTTATAAATCAGCTAGTGCTGACAACAAGACAATGATTATGTCCTTGAAAGCTATCTCAATGTGTTTTTAAGACAGTTTAATGAGGTGGCTTTTTCATAATTGGAACACTCTTGTTTTGAATCAAGCAGTCAGAGCTGATTTATAGAGATAATCAGATGCTACTTTTTCTGCCATTTATAAAAGAGCATGAGTACAAGGCCCTTCTTTCCAGGAAACGCTGGATTCAACCGGAGAAACATGATATACGTACATAGAGGAAACAGTCAACATGGATACTATTTGCCTACTATCAGAATGGTGGAATTAATTTGTTTTAGTCAGTAGATGTGTTTCGTAGCCTTACTGTGCTCTACTGTTGATGTGTGGAGGCTGTACTGGATGCAGACAACTAATAGTCATGTTTAAATCATTCATCAATTCTCACTCTTTAAACGTTGTGAGCTAAATTCAAACAAAGTTGCCCAATTCTTCTATTCTACAATTATTTTCTTCATCCAAGAAGAAATCTATTGTTAACACAAGCACTTCAGGAAATTGGAAACTGTAGTTGTAAGTTGGCTGTATCCAACCTCATTAGCTTTTCTCTGTAACTAATGAATCTAAATCAAAGCCCTAATACTGCCTGTTGGTTAGATGTGGTTGTGGTGATGGATTGCAAGACCTCTGTCTTAACCTTTAACTGTGTTTCATCATTCATTCAGGTTTTGTCTCTTTTGTTTTATTTTAAGGGCAGGTAGAGTATAGATGAACGTGACCCAACTTGTCAAGAATCTCTTTCGACATGCCCCTCCTCGATAGTAAAGTCAGCAGTATAAAGCTTGGGGGAATTGTTTTGAGCGTGTGAGAGGATTGGCTTGGATATCGTCTATCGCTCTCTCAGACTTGTCAGAGCTTGAAGGTGTCATAAATTTCTCTCCCAGATAGGGAAAAAAGAGGAAGAGAATTACAATCAACCTCTGCATACTGTACAATGAAAAGGAAAAGTCAGCAAACTCAGTTAAATGGGGTCTAAGAATTTGAAACTATAACCTTACATAACATGACATTTTGTTGATGCTTTTATCCATCTGACAATAATAGCATTCAACCATGAAGAAACAAACAAAACAAAAAATCTGGATAAACACATTTGTACCTTCTTAACATTGCCCTAAAGCATGTTTGCTGCATTCATGTGGTGTCAGAACAATAGCAAACATGATTCCCAGACTGGGAACATTCATGCAAACGTCCCTTCAAGTTGAAACAACAACTTGAAACCAGCGTCAACCTTTTTTTAAATACTCTAAGCAAGAAATAAAACATATTTTCTTTATAGCATCCATGTGTTTCCAAAATACAACTTAGAATTCTTGAACACAACAAAGTTGGAAGATTGTCTCCCCAACTTGAGAAACTTGGATGAGCAGGAGCATGTGATATAAAGATATAAAAGAAATATACCTTCTCTTTTCTGCCTCTGACCTCTGTTGTGACCCCTTATACTTCCGACTGTCCTCCTTTTACAACACAGTTGCCAGGGGATTTAAAGCTAGGCGGAAGTTTAGAGGTCATCGCCAATATGTGGAGAGTGTGGGTGGACTCCAACATGCAGGAACAAATGTCAACGTGTTTAGTTTATTACCCTCCATTCAAGATTATGTTTAGATGACCTCAAACTCAACCGGGAGGAACGTTCAGTTAATACCCAGAAGTCACCACATGTTCCATATCATGCAGAGTGTTGGCTTAATATCTTTTCCTTATTTGTCTCTCGTGCTTCTTTCTCCAGGACCAATATGACATCATTGAGAAGCACACACAGTCTGGCCTTGAGCTGGTGGAGAAGTATGTGAAGTTTGTGAAGGAGAGGACAGAGATTGAGCAAAACTATGCCAAACAACTGAGGTAGGCCTTGCTGTTGTCATTGTTCTCCCCCAAATGCTTTGTGTGTGAG